CATATGGCTTCCACCTCATGTCTCACGTGGTTGCTTGAGCTCCTACAATTGCACCTGCATTCCAGCCAGCTGGAAGGAGGGAGAACACAAGAGCATACTCTCTCCCTTTAAAAAACTCTTCTTTAGGGCCGGCCCGGTGGCGCACTGCTATAGTGCGCCGCTTGCGAAGTGTGGCGGCGCTCCCGCCGAGGGTTCGGATTCCACATACAGACTGGTTCCCGCTCACTGGCTGAGCGAGGCGCGGGAGCAACACCGAGGGTTGCGATCCTGTTGCCGGTTCCGGTCCAGTACGGGGGCGACACTGAGGGTTGCGATCCGTTGCCAGACACGGAAAAAGACAAAAAGGAAAAAAAAAAAAACCTCTTCTTTAAAGTTGCACAAAGCCCTTCTGTTTATATCTCATCGACCAGAACTTGGTCCCAGGGTCACAGTAGCTGCAAAGGATTCTGGGAAATGTAGAGCTTATTCTAAATGTCTGTGTGCTTAGCCAAAAACCAATGATTGTTATTAAGGAAAAAGGAGCGAACAGTTGTTGGGGGACAGTTAGCAGGCATTGCCACAGCTGTCTTAAGAGCAAATTTATTACAACTCAAAAGCCATAAAACAGATCATGCTCATTCAGTTCTGGAATGCATATCATGTGCCTGCTATGTACAAGGCACTGTGCCAGGCAGGGTCACAGCTGCTTGTCTGCAGCTCCTCTCCTTTCCCAGGGCCTAGGAGAATGTTGTCAGGTCAGTGGTGGGACGTGGCCAAGGGCTGGGGTTCTGATCCTAATTCTCCTGGGAACTAGCTGTGGAACCCCAATCTGGCTACTTGCCCGCTTAGCTGTCTTCATTGTAACATATTGACGAGATGACATAATTTGACAAGGTCACCAGCAGGAGAGCCAGGATTTGCCCCCTGGCAGTCCAGCCCCTGAATCTCAGCCCTTAACCACTGAGCTATACTGCGTGGATGTTTGCAGGCTGAAGCTGTGCTTCTAGCCCCTCCCTTGGCACCATCCTGGCCCCCAGAGACCACTGAGGCAGTGGCCAGGCCTGCTGGCTGTTCCAGGCATCTCACTGTCTTGGTCAGCAGGGATTCTGGCCCCGGGCTGACCAGGGCACAGTGGGCTCTGCGGCTGGGAGGGGTTGAGAGTGGGGAGAAGCGGGCCCAGGGCAGATTTTGGTAACAAACAGGATCAGGTGGCTCTGGCACTGGATCCAGGCCTGTGACTGTGTCTTGCCCTGAGGGTAAGAAACAAACCAAGCAGTTGACACTGATTCCAAACTGTGAGTGGAGAAATCACTGTGTGGGTGGTGCGCTAAGGAAAGAGAATAACACGAGAGAAAAACAAAAGACGTAAGTAGAGTAGAAAATAGCAAGAGGGCATTGTAGAAAGTAAGGCTAAGTGCAGCCTCCCGAGATTTTAACTCCCTCTTTATAGGTGTGGACTGGATCAGGATGTAAATATGTTTCCTGCTTCCGTAGCTGTCAAGAGAGTGCCAAAGCCTTGGGTCTAGATGACTGCCTGCCTGGTGGACAGAGCTGTGGAGAATAATTGGAATTACTGGCTTGATCTAAAACAATTATTTTTTTATTTTTATTTTTTTCTAAAAGATGACTAGTAAGGGGATCTTAACCCTTGACTTGGTGTTGTCAGCACCGCGCTCTCCCAAGTGAGCCACAGGCTGGCCCCTAAAACGATTATTTTTTTTCCTTTTTGTCTTTTTTGTGACCGGTAACGGGATCGCAACCCTCGGTGTCGCGCCCGCACCACGCTCAACCAGTGAGCAGACCCGTCTCTACATGGGATCCGAACCCTCGGCGGGAGCGCCGCCGCGCTCCCAAGAGCCGCACTCTACCGAGTGCGCCACCGGGCCAGCCCTAAAACGATTATTTTTTAACTTGACTAATTGATTTATTATTTTTTGTTGAAAGCTATCCAGCTTTGTAAAAAGTTAAAACAGTATAGAAGTGTATGAAGTTTTTAAAAGTTTTCTCCACCCCCAGCTCCACAGTGCATTCTGGTGCTTTACAGCTCCTGTGGCTCTTTCAAGAAAGTTTCAATGCATTTACAAATGTTTTTTAAAAAAAAAGAAACACAAATGAGATCATCCTAATATACCTGTTCTTCTGCAACTTGCTTTTTACATTTTATAGCTTTTCTTGACTTTTTTTTTTTACTTTGGCTCTATTGAGATATAATTCATGTATCTTAAAATCCACCCATTTGAAGTGTACACTTCAATGGTTTTTAGTATATTCACAGTCACGCAACCAATACCACAATCAAGTTTAGAACATTTTCATCAACGCAAAAGAAACTCCGTACCCACTGGCAGTGGTTCCCCATTTTCCCCCAGACACCACTGCCCAACGCCCCCACCCTATCCCCAGCCCTAGGCAGCCTCACCTACTTCCTGTTTCTGTTGATTTGCCTTCTCTGGACATTTCATGTCAATGGAATCATGCACTATGTAGTCTTTTGTGACTGTCTTCTTTCACTTCACTAATAGTTTTAAGTTTTATCTGTGTTGGAGTACTTCGTTTTTTAAGACTGCCAGATTTTGATGGACAGTTGGGTTGATTTTCTTTTGGCTCTTATGAATAATGCTACTGTGGACATTTGTGTATGGGTTTTCATGTCGGCTTATGTTTTCATTTCTCTTGGGTATCCTCCTAGGAGTGGAATTGCTAGATCATGTTGTAACTCAATGTTTAACTTTTTGAGAAATTGCCTTACTGTTTTGTAAAGTGGCCACACCATTTTACATTCTCACCAGCAGAATATGTGAATTCCAATTTCTCCACATCCTTGCCTACGCTTCTTATTTTCCATTTTTTAAATTATATCCATTGTAATGGGTGTGACTTTCATTTGCGTTTGCCTAATGGCTAATGCTGTTGACCATCTTTTCATATGCTTATTGGCCATTTGTATATTTTCTTTAGAGAAATATCTATTCAAACTCTGCTCATTTTTATTTGGGTTAGTTGTCTTTTTATTGTTGAGATTGTAAGAGTTCTTTATATAGTCCCTTATCAGATATATGATTTATAAAAATTTTCTCCCATTCTGAGTAGTCTCTTCACTTTCTTGGTAGTGTCCTTTAAAACACAAAAATTCTTGATTTTGATGATGTCCAATTTAACTATTTGTTGCTGATGCTTTTGGTGTCATATCTAAGAAGGCTTTGCCTAACCCAAGGTCATAAAGATTTTCTGTATTTTCTTCTAACAGTGTTTTAGCTCTTTTTTTTTTTTTTGTCTTTTTTCGTGTCCGGCAACGGACTGCAACCCTCAGTGTCGCGCCCGCACCGGACCGGGACCGGCAACGGGATCGCAACCCTCGGCACTGCGCCCGCCCCTCACTCAGCCAGTGAGCGGGAACCGGTCTGTATGTGGGATCCGAACCCTCGGCGGGAGCGCCGCCGCACTTCCCAAGCGGCGCACTGTAGCAGTGCGCCACCGGGCCGGCCCCAGTGTTTTAGCTCTTATATGTAGGTTTTTGGTCCGTTTGAGTTAGCTTTCATGGATAGTATATGGAAGGGGTTCAACTTCATTTTTTTGCATGTGGCTATTCAGTTATCCCAGCACGATTTGTTGACAAGATGATTCTTTCCGCATTGAATTATCTTGGCACCCTGTTGAAAATGAATTGGCCCTAAGTGTGAGGGTAAATTATCTTGACACCCTTGTCAAAAATCAACTGGTTGTAAATGTGAGAGTCTTGTCCCACAATCTTGCTGAACTCTTTCTTAACTATCTTTATGTGTGTGAGTATTGGAGTTTCCCCTTTCTTTCTAACGGCCATGCAATATGTCATGGTGTAGAAAGAAATGCTGTAATGTATGTAATGAGCCTCCATTGATGGGATTTGGTGCTGTTGGCATTTTTTTGCTGTTACTGGTTGTGCTACAGAGAACACTTGTAGGGGCACTCATTCATTCTAGGGAAGCCTATTGAGTGCCTTCTCTGTGCCAGGCACTCTTTGAGGCACTGGGCATACAGACAATAAGAAAGTAAGTGGGGGCTGGCAGGTAGCTCAGCTGGTTAAGCATGGTGCTGACAACATCAAGGTCCAGGATCTGGATCCCTGGGACTGGCTGGCCACCAAAAAAAAGTAAAAGGGATGATTTTAGCTTGTGAAAATCACTGAAGAAAATAAAACACAGTGATATGCTAGGCAGCAATCTTTGATTTGGGAATTCAGGGAAGATTTCTTTAAAGGGGTAACTTTGGAGCTGAGATCCAAACGATGAGAGAGAACGCACTGCAGGAGGTTGTTCCAGGCTCCAGGAGCAGCAGGTGCAGAGGCCCTGAGGTGGGCATGAGCCTGCCCTGTTCGCTGACTGGGGAGCACGCCAGCCTGCAGAGCAGTCCAGGCCAGAGCGGGGACAGGGGCCAAGAACGCAGCCTTTGTAGCCTTAGTAAGACATTAGGAAGGGAAGTTACTGGGGTGTGCTAAGCAGGAGAGTGACTTGATCCAATTTGTGTTCTAAAAGGGTCACTTTAGTTGCTTAAGAAGCATTTCTTTCCCCTGCCTTGTTCCAACATTTCCAAGCGCTGAGTTCTTAGACATGGGATTACTGGGTTAATGGGTTTGTACATTTAAAATGTTCCTGGATGCTGCCAGCTGCCTCTCAAAAGGCAGCTCTGGGGCCGGCCCGGTGGCGCACTGGAGAGTGCGCCGCTTGGGAGCGCGGCGGCGGCACTCCCGCCAAGGGTTCGGATCCCATGTGGAGACCGGTTCCCGCTCATTGGCTGAGCGCGGTGTGGGAGCGACACCGGGGGTTGCGAGCCCGTTGCCGGTCCCCGGTATGGGCGCAACACCGAGGGTTGTGATCCCGTTACCGGTCAGTAAAAAAAAAAAGACAAAAAGGAAAAAAAAAAAAGGCAGCTCCGGGTTCCCCTCTGAGGGTGCAAGCCCTCACCATTGCCAGTGACATGTGGGTTGGGGAGCCTGGGAGTTCTAGCCCCCAGCCCAGCACCCAGCCTCTGACTCTGTTTCCTTTGCAGGACCTTCACCACTGCACTTGCCCAGTAACTCTGGCTGTGCCGTGCACCCCTCCGGTAAGACGGGCACCCCAGGAGCATGGCAGATGAAGACCTCATCTTCCGCCTGGAAGGCCTGGATGGCGGCCGGTCCTCCCGGGCTGGCCACAACAGTGACTCTGATGCAGACAGCGATGACGAGGAAGGTTACTTCATCTGCCCCATCACCGACGACCCCAGGTCAAACCAGAATGTCAGTTCCGAGGTTCATAACTACTACAGCAACCTAACAAAAAGTGAGCGGTCCCCAGCCAGCTCCTTCAACTTCAAGGTGAGTGACCCACCTGCCCCACCCTCCCCACCTGGCTCACCTGCTCCCAGGGATGGCGAAGTGACGGTGCTGTGTTTCCAAACCCTGGCCAGTACTCTCAATTTAGGATCTGAGGATATACTTGTTAAGCTGGAAGGATTTTAAAACAAGTTTCAGGAGCTGGCCACTTAGCTCAGGTGGGTAGAACACAGCCTCGTAACATCGAGGTCATGGGCTTTGGATGCCTGGACTGGCCAGCTGCAAAAGAAAAAAAAAAAAAAAGTAAAACAAGTTTCATTACCTTAGAGCAGTGTTTTTCAGATAACTGCTCAGGACCTACTACTAGGTTGTGAAAACCTTTTAGTGAATCTTGGCCAACTTTTTTGTTTTGTTTTGTTTTTAAGAAATGGAACAAAACAGAATAAAATAGAAAACATTAGAGGGCAATGTAAAGTGTAAAGGTCTTATTTCTTAAACCTAGGTATTTACACATTCACACACACAACCTAGGTGAACCTATCAATTGCTATGACTAGTGCCCCAACATTTTTTTAAAGAAATGGAACAGAACAGAATAGAAAATATAATTTCTTGAAACATACGTACACTCCCATCTGCACACACAAATGTGACTATATTGGTTGTTTATGATCAGCCTCTTATGATGTACCACTTGTTAATTTTTTTTTTTTTTTTTTTTTTTTAAAAGATGACCGGTAAGGGGATCTTAACCCTTGACTTGGTGTTGTCAGCACCACGCTCAGCCAGTGAGCGAACCGGCCATCCCCATGTGGGATCCGAACCCGGGGCCTTGGTGTTATCAGCACCACACTCTCCCGAGTGAGCCACGGGCCGGCCCCCGCTTGTTAATTTTAAAAAAAATTATTTAACAAGTTTTTATGGGGAACTGTTTGATATTTACCAGCCTAGGTACTTGATTACATAAATTAATTAAACCTGCATTTATTGCCTATTATGTGTCTGTCACAAAGCTATGAATTCAGTATAGAGAGACCAAAAGAAAAGTCTTCCTATTTATCCCACAGAGATATCAAAGTAAAGCAAAAAAGTATAATGAGCTATTAGTTACTTTACTAGAAATATGTTTTAGGAACACTGAAAAACTTACTTCATTTAACATTTACAGCCATCTTATGTGGTAAAGGATAGGCTAAATTCCTGTTAATCATAAGTTTTGAAACAATACCTAGTATTGTGTGGTGTAGACTGTAGGTGCTTAATAAATACGGTTTCCTTTTCTGTCCCCACATCCCAGCAGATGGTCCTAAAAATTCATCCTTGACTGTGAGAATTAATGGCTTACTAAAACTTTTCTACAAATTAACAGGCTTTTTCCATATTTGTTTACTGACTAAAAACTCACTGTGGGGGGTCTCCACCTCACCTCCATATCTTCTGCGTTTATCCAATTTTGTGTTAGATATTTTGATATCACCCCTGGCTATGTGTGTCTGTGGGGACAGGCAGATGATGTAAGATGTAGTTCTTCATGTTGGTTGTGCTCAAAAAAACCACTGCTTAAAGTTGGACATTCTTTTCAGTTGAGGAAAAGGGACTTATTTTGTTAGGGATTTGTGTTTATACCATGGAAAGCTGGAGTGAAGGAGAGGGGGGAAAGCAAACTTTATTGGACTTTGCGTAATAACTGGTGAGGGGGGGATTAAAAATGTAGTACTGTTATCCTTATTTAATTTAATCTTTAACAAACAGAAAGTATCTACTAGTACTCTCTCTTTTTTTTTGGCGGCTGATGGGGATGCTAACCCCTGACCTTGGTTTTACACCACGTGCTAACCAGCAGAGCCAACTGGCCAGCCAGTATCTGTTAGTACTGTAAGCAAAATGCCTATTATCACTTTGGGATTTGAAATGGAAACCATTCTTCTATAACTTCAGAATTAATCTGCTTTTAGAAAATTAATAATTTTAGTTCTTGGAGATGGCTGGGTCATTTTTTCCTTTCAAGGCCAGAGTTCTAGCTTAAGTCACTCTGGGGCAGGCAGCTCCAGAAATAGCCCCGAGGGTCTCTTCTGGGGCTGGTGGGCTCCTGAAGGGTCAGGTTGTGACTTACCCTGTTTCCTGTCCTAAGGCAGCTTTGAAACCCACTCCCAGCCCTATGGAGCGTGGCAGCGGAGGGCCTCTAGGCACAGTGCTGGTCCACAATAAAGACAAAAAATGTTAGCCATTTTTAATATGCTGTTAATTAAAAAAGCAAGTTAAACTATAATACAATTCTGTTTCTATTTAAATATATATATACGTATATATTAGTGTCTACATAGCCAAAACTGTTTGGAGGATTTTGTGTCCAACAGTTAATGGTGACTCTCTCTGAGGGACAGGGTGCTACTGAGGACTTTGATTATCTACATTATATATGTATTTAAACATTTTAAATATACTTTAAAGCTACACATGTGTATTACTTGCATGGAGAAAAATGTGTTGTTTTTAAAAGAAAAATAAAGCAAAATAACCAGATAACCTCCCTCCCCCAAACAATAAATAGCCCCTCCCTAAACTCATCACTTCTAGGAAGCAAGGTTCAAAATCCTCACTGAGGATGGTCCCCAGGGGACCCTTCTGGGCTCTGTTCACCCCACCACACACCTTGAAGCTCCTGGAATAGGCTTCTCTTTTTCACGTCTCTGCCCAAAGCCTCTTTCAAGTGATGTCTCAGTCTATTAAAATTACGGTCCTGGCTCCTTCAGGACCCAATTTTAAGACACCCTTCCCTGGCTCTGTCCTCCGCATTCCCTGGGGCTCTTGGCAGACGTTTTATGTGCATCTGTCATTCTCTAATGTCCTTCTTTGTTTATGAGTCACTGTCTGACTTCCAGGCTAGGGGCTGTGTCTGCTGGCACCTCCGCTCCTTTGTTGGGCACAGTGGGCACTTGGTGAAATGTTTGACCGTGTATGGAAAAGATGTAGCTCTTCCTTGTACGCGGTCCCAGGTCATCCAAAGCAGGCTCTGTTGGGTTACTGTGGCCAGTGGCGACTTCAGTGGGAAAACAACAGCCTGGTTTGCCAAACCTCATTCCCTGGGCACTCAACAAACCTAATGTGTGTTTTTTTATTTACTGTCGACATGGCAACCTGGGTTGTTTAACCAAAATGGCTACCTGGCGTTCCTCCAGGGCACACCGCCTGGCAGGTTCTGGGTGTGTATGCAGAAGGTCAGGTTCTGCTGCAGTCAAGGCCCAGCCTTCCGCCCAAGTTCCCCTAGGGGTGTGGCAGAGCCATTCAGGGGGCTGCTTTCTCACAGGAATGTCAGGCAGCCAAGCAGAGGATGTTTACAGAGTTTATTATAACGTGGGAAAGTGCTTCTACTCCGGCGTTAAATTTAAAACGTAGAGTATAGGGTGCAGTTATAGCTCTGTGAAACATGCATGCACGCGTGCACACACACACAACACACTTGTGTGCACACACACTCAGCACATACTTATGCACACAACACACATACACGTGCATGCCCGCACACACACAACACACAAATCCCCAAAAGCCCAGGAGGAAGCACGTCAAGCCAACAGGGGTTGTCTTTGGATGGGATCAGGGGTAACTATGTTCCTTTCCTACTTCTCTGTCATTTCTGCATGTTCTGGAATAAGCATATGTAGCATACGTAGGTTTTTAATTTTTTAATAAAGTAAGAAATTTTATTTTTAAAACATTGTTTTCCTGGTCTGAGACTATCCTAGAGATCATTCCACATCAGCACATGTAGATTACCTCTTTTTTTTTTTTTTTTGGTGTATTAAATTATATTTCATTACATGATTACATATATTTTTTATGTAGTCCCTTCTTGAAGGACATTTTGGTTGTTTCTTTCTTCCTATCACAAATAGTACAATAATAAATATCTTTATATGTGTATCTAGGCAAATGTGGGGTTTTTTTGTTTGTTTTACTTGTCTTTTTTTTTTGTTATCTAGGCCAACTTTAAAAACATACATTTTGTAATATGCAAGTAATGTATGTATAGGTAAGATGAATTCCAGCATGTAAGTGGTATACAGTAAAGTAGGCCTTCCACTTCTGCTCCCTGTTTCCCTGGGCTGTGTCCTTCCAGAAACGTTCCTTGTGTATACAAGTGTATGTATGCACGTGACTCTCCCATCTTCTTTTTCTCTGAAATGTTACAAACCTGTCTTGCACCCTTGTGACCATCTTCCCATATTGGCCCATAAGAGCTGCTGGAAGCTAGAACTTCAGTAACACACATTTTGGGCCGGGCAGGCTCTGGTCTATGTGCCTTCCTTGCATCAATTTGTTTAGTCTGCACCGCAGTCCTGTGGCAATTGGTGTTTTACCAGGTAGTGAACCTGGGGCTCTGAGACCTTCATTCACTTGCCCCATAAATGGTGGAGCCATGTTGAGACGCAGGCGATCTTGCCCCAGAGTTGATGCTCTTAAGAACTGCAGCATGTCATCTCTTCTGTTTTGTCATTGTTTTGCTTTTTTTTTTTTTTTTTTTTTTTTTTTTTTTTTTTTTTTTTTTTTTTTTTGTCTT